AGTGAGCTGCCGACAGCTGCGGCTGGAGGGGAGGGAGCAGCCCCTCAAGGCGGCCCCCGAAGTAACTCCCTGAGTGCATGGAGCACTTGTCCGCTCCACTTTCAAGGCCCTTTCCCGCCCGCGCCCAGCCCTACAGGGCTTCCAGATTCCGGCTGAGGGAGAGGGAGGGCTGCCCGTCTCCCATCAAGTTGACAACAATTACGAAAGTTTTTAATTAGCTTCTTGTTATCATTCATTTTATTAATTTCCAGAACTCTCAAGCCATGAATTATTCAAAGGGCAAGGCAACCGGAGCGGGGCGGTCGCGCGCCCCCGCCGCACGTTCCCGGCCCGGCTCTGGCAGCGCCGCTCGCCCGCCGCCCCGGAGGGCGTGAGCCGGCCCGGCGCCGGCAGCCGCGGTGGCGCGAAGGTTTGATCAAATATTAAATAACGTAATTATTGCGACAAGGCTTATCTCGCAGGTGGAAAAGAGGCTCCCGCGAGAATTAGAATTCGGCTGCTATTTTTAAAAAATCAATTAAGCTTGCGGTCTCCTTTGAAACCGCCCGCGAGCTCTATGTGGCTCTCATCGTGGGGCTAAGACGGTGGAGCCAATAACACCCATAAACAGAACCATGTCAGATAATAATTGTGGTCATCACCTTTATCATCCCGCTGGCCACCAAGGCAATTCGAATGGAGTGGGGAACACTGCTTTTTACCAAAGTCAGAACTCACAATTCCCACTTCATGGACTAGACTATGAAAGCCCATCCCCAAGAAAGATAGAGCAGGGATGCTTCACGGAGGGTCGGCGGGAGAGGGCCGGGCGCCGCGGCAGAGGGCCATGGGCGGGGGCTGGCCAGGTGAGTCCTGGGGGCTAGGGCGCCCTTTCTTCTCTTGGCATGGCTACGTGTGGTAACAGGACAGACGGAGTCTTAATATCACGAGAAAGTATAAATTGATAGTCATGGCAGTGGGTGCGTACTGGGTTTATTTATGAGAGTGTAATCGAAGTTGAGAGCAATTTCAGAACACGCATTAAACAAAAATCTACTCAGAAGTTAGTTGGTGTGTCTTGAGGGCATCATTTCTTAGACCTAGAGAAGGAGCACGACCCTGAGCTAGGACTGGGGCAAAGAGAAATTTAAAATGAACGGATGCCATAAACGTGGCAGGAACATTTCATACTTATTTTTCTTTTGCCCATCCTACTCCACGACCGCCTGTATTTCCTGAGAAGCTGAAATACAAACGGAGCACAATTTTCCCACTCTCTCCAACTTACCTTAAGATTATTCTTTTAAAGTACGGGAGCCACTCATTTTACTATTTCCACTCACCAACTGGTTTCAGAATCTGCTTAGAGTGTAGTACCTCTTCACAACCAGAAAACTTTGAAAGGCCAAGTATGCTGAGTGACAAGCCTTTGCACTCTCTTCAGGAAGACGTTTGTTTGCTTGTTTGTTTCTTCAGCTAAATCGACAAAGGTGTTGTAGAACAGTCTTATTATTCCTTCCCAAGGTACACAGATTCACTCACCAGAGAGCAAAGTATTTCTGTTTTGCACAGTTTCCTACTACATAAAATAGGAAACTCTGCAAAGCATATGTTTTCATGATGTTTTATTAACATAATATTGTCTTCTTTTTATTTGGTAAGGATTTTAATACAAAACAAATACTTAAGTTATTATTACATACATTGGTCATCATTATATAATACAAATGTATTTGCCTGCAACATTTCTGTTTGGAGCAGATTGAAAAAAAAAAAAACAGGCTTCGTAAATCTTTTCATTTGTTCATTCCTGGTTCTCCAACAATGAAATCCGGTCATACTTTCCTATAAAATAACGGTTTGTTTGTTGTTTTTTTTCTTTACAAATGCATTTTATTAAAAACTTTGATGACATCAAGTCAATAACAACAGAAACAAATCAATTTTGATGGAAGAGATCTATTTTGAAAAATACCTCTAGTGCTTTTTTTTTAAACATTAACAACTGTTTAAAATCACAGCTTTTTAAATGTACTATTCTTTTTTGAACATCAAGTGTTTTGTTTCACAGATTTGCCGGTGAAATTAAAAAGATTTGGCTAAAATAGGATGATGTCAGAAGATATAATCCCAGCTATTCAGAAACTTTGTACATTTGGCATCTGATCTAGTCCGGGGTCCCCAATAAATAAAGTATCTCTGGTCTTTCTGGAGCAGTAGGTGGCACACTAAATGTTTCAAATGAACACAGGCATTTGACACGGTGGCTGGACAGATCTGATCTGTGGATGATTTTTTGTATTTATTAACCTCCAAAGCAAAGTCATTTAGTTACAACATTTTTTAAAGAAATCTTTATAGGCTAGAACAACACATAGAAACCTTCAAATGCCTCTTTCCCTGAACCTCAATTTAATTTGGGGGAGGGGGACCTGGTTATTTATTACCTTCCACCACTTTGAAGTGAGTGCTGTGGTTTAAGAGTTTCTGCAGTTTAAAAAAAAAAATTGATAAACACAGGCAACTAATATAGAATTCATTTTATTCAGAGCACCGCTTTTCATATGAGTTATCTGAAAGTGAATTCTGATTCAGCAGAAAAATACATCATTCTCACCCCTTCCTCACTTTATAACCCCCTTTCAATATCCTCCCCTGTATTTGTGGTTGAATTGAATCTCATTTTTTGACCGCCTTCACCAGGACTTGGCCCAGTATAAACAAAAATGCACCCAAATCATAAAACTGCTCTTCTTTCAGTTATGTTTTATTTGTAAGCGTACTGGGACACATTCCCCTGTTGTATTTTGGCGCACAGAAATGGTTCTAATAGAAGTGGGGAGGGGGAAAGGTAATAGAGCAAAGACATAACCAAAGAGAAAGCTCAGCAGACATACATGGACAGGTAGATCAATCCGTGAGACATTTCAGGATTAACACTGGCAGTTTGTAACCACTGTGTGAGTGTGTGCATTAAAGAAAATATTTACAGTAGTCTTCCTTTTTTTTCTCTTCCTCTAAATACAAGAATATGACAAGAATGTTGTGTTTTCGGTGAAAACAGGCAGTAGGCTGTGAAATCACACTATCCACAAAACGGTCTATCAGAAAGCTAGCCCAGTTTAGTGCTCAGTTTCAAATGCATAGTATGTTTGCGCTGCAAACAATGATATACAACGTAATTAAATAAATAATGCCTAACCAGAGTGAGACCTAATTGTGTTTCTTTCTGCACCTTTCAGATCATGCATGATTTCAGTCTTTTAAATGGCAGAGTTTTCCTTTTCTCATTTGTTGTTTTCAATTTTTTAGTTATTAAAGGATGGTAATACACCATCTCCACACGAGATCAAAAGAGTATCTTGTGCACCAAGCAGGCATTTTACCTAACCACCTTCAACTGTCTCTCTCTCTTTTTTTATCCATCAGCAGTTCATAGAGTACCTTGATTATTACTATGAAATACTATACAAGATTTTCTATTTGGGAGACTGATAGTGCAAATTAAAGTTCTTGCTACCCAACATTTATCCCCAGCAATAAATTACTTTTGAATAATAATAATAATAATAATAAAACACAGTTTTGTTCTGCTTCCCCCCCAACATGCAGACCCCTTTGAAACAAATGGAGGGCTTTAAACCTGTCTTCCTCTCTTCTGGGATTTAGTTGATTTTTCTCCCAGCCAAGTCCTGCTCCAACTGAAAGCAGAAACTTTCCAGTATTTCAACGATCTCATGTTCTTCAAGAGAGAAAGAAAGGGTACCTAGAAGAGCAAGATGGGTCTTATTCTGGAGAGAAAATGGGGCACAGTATCTCTCCTAGTGTCTTCCACCCCATCAGTGTATTTGAATCAATAGGGGGAAAAATCAGTAGGTAGTTTAAAATAAACCACACTCAGAAAAATAATCGAACGGTCACGCAAGTTCTATGGGGAGGGAGGGGGAGCTTATTTTGAAATAATCTTTTTTTCCGGATCTTAGATATATGAACAAAAATGAAAAGAGAAAAACCTTGTTAACTTGTTTTATTTTCCTAGAACAAAGTATTTATTTCAGAGCCCCCAAATTCTGCTGTTTAGTCAGCTCAAAGACTGTGTGTCTGTCTCTCCCTAAACATCCCCACCAGAAGAGTGCCCAGGCCACAGCAGCATGTATAGGCCAGATCGCTGGAAAACTTGGGACTCCTGAGTAGCCTCCCTCTCCTTTAGCTGTGCCCCCCGCCCCTCACTTTCTGGCTGTGGAGAGCAGCTATCGGGGTGTCATTGGAACGGAGAAAATAAATCAAAGAGGACAAGGACTGGGCGGAGGTGAGACTTGGGGGGAGAAAGTAAACACAGAGACAGAACAACTAGCTTCACTACCCAGAATTTCACCTTCTGGTTTGTTTGGTTTTTCATTTTTAACTCAGTTCATGTATGTAGGGTTGGAGTGGGTGGTAATAATAGTGGTGCTCTCTTTTTTCTCTTCCTTAGGGGGTAATGAAGCTGCAGAATACGGCTCCCCAGAGTTAAGTTTCTGAAGTATTTTTATCTTTTTGTTCTGTTTTGTTTTAGTTTGTCTTTGTCTGGTTTTGGTGGTTGGTAGGTTTGTTTTTGTACATAGTCCCTTGGTCCCCAGGAGATTTTGACAAGTGTCTCTGGTCAAAAACAGTCCATTTCCCTACTCTTCCCGAGTCTCCCCACCCCCACCCTAACCCCCAGAACCAATCTGCTCCTCAGAACCCCTCCTCCAGTCTCTGCTTTCCTTCCCCTCATCTCCCCACTCACCCAAATATTCCCCCTTTCTCCCCAGCTTGGCTCTCCGGTGTCCACACGCAGCACCGCAGTCCTTTTTTGGGGGGAGGTTAGTAAAGGGCAGGGAGAGCAGAGAGGGGGTAGAGGAGAGTGCGCTAGGAGGGACTCCCCAAATGCAAGCAAGATAACGGACACTCCAAATCTAGGGGAAACAGGCTCAGGGAAAGGCCCCGAAAAGCCCCTTCAGCTCCCCGCTCTGCCCCGCCCTGCACCTCCCGCTCCCCCCTCAGTAAGTGGCGGAGAATTTCATCCGCTTCTGCTTCTGTCTCTGGTTGCAAAACCACACCCGCACCACGTTCTTTTTGAGGTCCAGTTTCTCGGCGATGGCGGCGATCTTCTCGGAGGAGGGCCGGGGTTGTACGGCGAAGTAGGCCTCGAGGGAGCGCTTCTCCGGCGCTGCGATGGAAGTCCGCTTGCGCTTCTTCTCGCCGCCGTTGAAGAGCTCGGGCTTGTTCATTTTCTCGCGCTGCGCGCCCTCGGCCTCCTCGAGCCACGCCTGCAGGATGGGCTTGAGCGCGATCATGTTGTTGTGCGAGAGCGTGAGCGACTCGAACCTGCAGATGGTGCTCTGGCTGAGCGAGCCCACGCCCGGGATCTTGAGGTTGGCCAGCGCCGAGCCCACGTCGGCCTGCGTCACGCCCAGCTTGATGCGCCTCTGCTTGAAGCGCTCGGCGAACGCCTCGAGCTCGCGCGGGTCCGTGTCCGAGTCGCAGATGGACGCCAGGCCC